GACTCTGGATCCACTGCTAGTTTTCATTTTAATGATATGTTCTTGTAAAGCACAATATTTTACTTCAATTGCATGTGTCAGTGGATAAATTCCTGCAGCGTGTCTGACATTTGTAGATCAGCTGACTGGATGTGCACTATGATTTTGGGTGTTTCTGCTGCAGTGTCTTCAATTTTAATGTCTTTGCATTTTAATTTATGATCCGGATTGCACTATATAAAGGTACACACACAGATACACACATACAATTCAAAAACAACAGCACGTGTATTCATAAATCTTGAATTGGCAAAGTTCATTTACAATGATCTCCTTAAATCATGCGTACTCGCACTGAGAAATGAGAAATTCTTATTTGGAAATGACAATGACAAGTGTTGTTTGTGGGAGATTTACAAAGCTGGGAGAAGTGCACAATAATGACCAGCTGTTTGTGACATGCTGCCCATGGATAAAGCCTCTTGCATCTGTCCAGGGTAGCTCCAAGCGAAGGTGGGAGGACACAACGGCACGGCAGGGAGAGGAGAAAGGCTTCGGGAACACTTATGGTAAAAGCATGGGGGAGAGATTGACAGCATTCAGGAATACAGAATTATATGTCTGGGAGGATAACGACCAGTTTCGCTGCTCTCCTTATCTACCGGGTAGAACATGAAGATAAGCTTAAAGCAGCAGAAAAGACTAAGATGCAACGTGGAAGGAACATGGCACGGGGGGTGGGGCATGTGCAGAAAGCCATCGGCTTCCAATGGAAAGGCCATTGCTGCCTCTGGCTAGGGGACCTTGGTTAAGGACAAGTGCTCCACCCATGCATCTGCGGGCCCCTCTGCCTGCAGCGCCTGCAGCTCTCATGCACATTTCATACCTAAACAGGCAGAGATGGAGTGAAAACAAACAAAATGCCTGATGGTCAGATGGTCAGCTCCTACTCACCTACCGGCCCTTGGATCTGCCAAGCAGATGTCGCAGCAGAGCTCAGAGACGCCTGCCCCCTGCCCTAACCCCAGGTTCCCAGTCAGTGTGAAGGAAGGTCCTCCCCAGTGCCCAGTCTGACCTCCTGATGCCCTGACCCCACTGCCTGGCTCTTGCCACCTGGAGAGCTTTATGAGCCACAAATTGCTTTTCAGTTAAATTGCAGGAAAATGTCCATAAGAACTTTTAAAATCACCACATATCCCTAGAAAGTAGGAAAGTAGGGGCTAGAATCTCCAATATCACTTAGTGACGTGAAAGTTGTACACGCACACACTCACACACATACACACTTACACACACGATGATAACATTAACCTGCATGGCAATTCCTGGTTAGGAATATTTGTGTGTGTTACACCGACACTCATCCAGAGAGGCCAGTGTGGTCCATCCTGTGACCAGACACACAGTCTACTACAGATTAAGCTAGGCCAGCGGAGTCCTGCTCCACCAAGGTACTCCGAGCAACTCAGCGCCAACACCCAGATGAGACGCAACTGCCAAACGCAAGGACTGCACCTCAGCTAGCAGTGTGTGATATTCTTTGTTTGCCCTAAGCAGGAGTCTCGCCTGCTAACATGAGGTGGTAATTCACTACTGAACAGCAGGCATAAAATACGATCAGTCATGAAAGGGAAGCAAGAGGTAAAGAGAAAGGGTTCAGCAAAGAAGCCACATGGACCTGGTTATCTCAACCAAAGTCAACCTTGTGCAGGCACCTGCTGTCGGGCACAATGGAGTCTGCCAGCAAACTGTTACCTGCAACCAAAACTAAGATGTTAGCACTCAGGTTACTTCTGAAGTTCCTAGTCACGTTCTGATAATGGTAGCATTTACACGCCACGTTTTTGTTTTTGTTTCAACAGCGCACACCTGTAACACTCACCACGGGAGAAGGATGCCGACACACACCCCAGAAAGCTTGAAAAGACATCCAGATTGGTACAGCTCCCCTCCTCCCCCCGCCTCCTGTAATGTGTGCACAGGTAAGGTTGCACATGACCGAGCTCCCGCCAGTCATTTCGAGGGCCACAGACAGCTGTAGTCAGGCTCCTGTGCCTCTGATGCAAAACCAACTCCTTCACTCTCAGCAAATCCTCCAGCCCCTCCCTCCCACGCTGCCCACGTGGCGCCTCTTGTCACACTGCAAAGAGCTCTGAAAGGTCCTTGATACACACAGGAGATTATTACAGGGCTCAGAGAAGCCAACTCTGTAATTACAGCTACTGTATGATTTCCATTATTCCCGTACCCAGGTCTTCAGTCACTCATAAAACTTCTAGGGAAAAAATGTTTCTGTAGCCCCAAAGCCCAGCATGGCTGAGCCCACCCAAAAGGTGGCCATGGGTCCACTGGCACCTGGGCACAGAAAGTCACTTATCGCAAGAAATGGGGCCAATGCTTGGTCAGCAAGGGTTAGTGGTGGAGATTCTATTGTTCAAAGAAGAAATAAATAAGCAGACTTCTGCTCCATATTATATCTGAAAACAAATCTGTGGTCAAACCTTCCTTTCCCAACCCCACAGTGGCCCTGGTGACAAAGTAGGAGCCTGCAGGTTCCCACAGTGGTCCTGCCTAATCAGCCTGCCTAGGTGCTCCAGAGCTACAGCTCAGCTGAGCCATCCTGCCACTTACCTACCACAGGTGAAGTGGGGAACAGCCCATGGTTGAAAAGGCATTTGCCCTCCTGCTTGGTCAGGTGTGGCTCTGCCTCCAGCCTCTGCCATGGATGCTGTGTGGTCAGGCGTGGCTCTGCCTCCCACCTCTGCCACGGATGCTACATGGCCGGGAGCAGCTCTGCCACAGATACAGTGTGGTCAGGCACGGCTCTGCCTTCCGCCTCTGCCACGGATGCTGTGTGGTCAGGCGTGGCTCTGCCTCCCGCCTCTGCCACGGATGCTGGTTCCGAGCTTTTGCTCCACAGATTCCTAGAGCCATCCTCATCCCACACTCACATGATGGGTAACCTTGGCCTTCCCACCAGGCTTGCACAGCCGCGATGGTGCAAGCCACCACTGGCCTCTGTTCCTTGCACAGCAGCACACACGCACTGGCCGACGGTCTCAACGTTACAGGGCAGCTGTAGCCAGGAGACGGGCCTGTTTTTCTCCCTACAGAGAAAAATTACTGCCTGCTCTGATCTGTGCACTGAACTTGCAATGTTCACTTCATGGACACCAAATTCCAAGAAGCTCAAACAATGACAAAAACAAATCCTCCTCCAGGGTCTACTATGGTTTGCCGGCAAATAAGTGACCTTCTGGCAACCGGTCGGAAACTGAGCAGGGAAGGATCTCTCAGGATGGGTATATGATACCCAGCTGTTTCTTGTTATGCCTCCCCAAGGCGCTGAGGCTCTGCTCCCCAGAGCACAGAGTTAAGAACCCCCAGACCGCCTTGTCTGTTGACTCTCAATCATTGTTACTGCACACAGCCACAGCCTGGGCAGCCAAAAGACCCTGCACAGTAGGAGTCACCCAGCGTAACCAGCGTTTGAACAACAATCCACTTTTCCTGCAAAGGGAACTTATTAGATTGAAGGCAAGAACTGAGCCATCAGAGTGACCAGCAGAGATGTCCACAGGGCTTGCCTGCCCCAGACGCTGGCACTTCTGTCTCCTCACTCAATACTCAGACATCCTAGACAATTTCAGCAGGTTTGGCTATCTGATTTCCATCAAAAGCTGGAAGCCACAAACCAAGGGAGAGGTGTTGAAGTCAAGCACCATTCCTGACAAAAACCTGAAGTGACAAGTGACGACAGGCCCGAGAGAAAGCTGTGACAATCAAACATGGCGGGGGGGGGGGGGACCGCGCGGCTGTGTGGCGCACGCATGCCCCCTTGCAGTAGGTTCTGTATGACTCCCAGAAACTCAGTTCAATGCCTGAGTGAATATCGCAAGGCGGCTGAGACAGCAAAAAGGGCCCAATTCTGTTTAAGACATTCTTCACACACAGGTGGGCACTGGGAAGAGGTATCCGGCTGAAGTACATTTCAGTTGTGATGCTGCGGCTGCATGGCTGCCTCCTCCAGGGCAATGCTCCATGTGCGTTGCCCAGCTCACACCCTCACCCAGCAGACCACAGCGTCCCAGTGGGGTGCACTGCCTTCCAGGAGCAGCTTAGCCTCCTGCCTCTGCCACGGCTTCCCCACACACCTCTCGCCCTGCACACACTCACCCTGCAGGCCCACAACCTGACCTGCAGAGGGAAGTACCAGTAATGGATGGTGGCAGGCAAAGCACAACGGTCTACATCTTGCACAACACATTTCCACTTGCCTAGAAATACAGAAAGAGTAAAACAGGGATCGTGGCTCAGTCTCCACTATCCAACACCTCCTTACTCAGCTTGAATCACACAAGTCAAGAGAATTCCAAGGAAAGGCTCAACAACACAAGCCATAGATACACACAGAGGCACCAGTTTTTCCTGGCAGAAACACAAGTGTAATTGCTGTGCCACAGGAAACACTCTCCTTCCTCCAAACTCAGAAAGCCTTCTCACTTTCTAGAGAGAAATCCAGGTAGACGACACCCCGGTATGTACAAGTTCTCCCAACACCACAGAGCAGCCAGCTCACTTTGTAATGAAACTGCCAGCTCAGACCCCAACACAACAACAGTCTACCCATTTTCCGCCAGCATTGATGCTACCTTGGTCCATGAAGACTCCGAGCCCCAACAGCTCTGCACTTTCCCCCATCTGTTCCCTAAGTGAGCTCCAGAGGGTGAAACAACCAGAGGAACGCACACACCTACCCCTGCCCGCCTCCCCCACCTGGCCCCTCAGGCTTCAGCAGCGTGACGTCCAAAGCAGTGTGACACTTGCCGAGGCACACAGCGGTTCTGAACAAGGCTGACCCATGCCAGCACACGGTCTGCTCCCACAACAGGCATGGCAGAGGCAGGGCAGGGTGGCGAGAGTAATCCCAACAGTAGGCCAGCCTCGCCTCAAAGCCATCAGAACAGCAAAGCACGAGACCAACGCACCCCCACATCCCAAGTCTTGTGCCTCAGTCCTACCTTCTTCAGCTTGCCACTCTTGGTGCCCACGAAGGCCAGAGAATGATTCTTGTACACGTAGGCGATGACGGAGGTCATGCGGTCCCTGTCCTCCGTGAAGACGGGGATGCCACGCACCATCTCCGACACTCCCAAGGGGGCATTCATGTCCAGGCCACAGAAGTTATCGTCGATGGTTAGGAGCTGGAAGCACAAACGGAGGGAACGTGAGAAGGGAGCACTGTGGGAACTGGCCGGAACAGCAAGGCAGAGAACAGAAGCATCCAGTGGTGCAAAATCCCTCCGCTCTGGAGAAACCAGGCACCTACGCAGGCACCTGCAGGACCACAGTCACAGCCTCTCCACGCCTCCAGGCCTTCCAGGGGCCATATGGGCACCTTTGCCTGCCACCAGCACCACCAGCTGGAAGAGCACATGGGCTCCAGGCAGCTCTGCTCAGGCACACAAGGGATGTTACTGCCACCCACGTGCTCACTGCTGACCACATGCAAGCTGGGACCTGAGAGTATAGGGAACTGGGAGCATTATCTGGGGATAACACCATCATTGGGGAAAGGAAGAACAGGCGACAACAAAGTTCATGACCAACCCATGGGGTCCCTGCAGGTTGGTGCCTCACAAGCCAATCTCAGGCTCTGTTGGAGGCAAGATGGGATACCCTGGCCTTGTCATGCTCGCCCCTTACACTTCTCAAAGTGTCTCCTACAGAGCCTAAGCTTCAGAGGATGCTTTACATAAAAGGGTGCCCCGTGTGGCTGATGCTGGGGCAGGTAAATCCTCTTCTGCGATGCCTGCACTCCACACGGGAGTCAGATTATGACTACTCTCCTTCAGCCCAGTACCCTGCTAATGCTCCTGGGAAGGCAGCAGAAGATGCACCAAGTTCCCAGGCCCCTGCACTCACACAACAGACTTGGATAACGCTTCTGGCTCTTAGCTCCAGCCTAGCTCAATCTGGCCATTGTAGTCACTTGGGAAATGAACCAGTGCATGGAAGATCTCTCTCTTGCTCTCTCTCACTCTCTCTCTCGCTCCTCAACTCTCTCAAGTAAGAGGAAGGAAGGAAGGAAGGAAGGAAGGAAGGAAGGAAGGAAGGAAGGAAGGAAGGAAGGAAGGAAGGAAGGAAGGAAGGAAGGAAGGAAAAGGAAGAAAAGGGTTCCTCAGATAAATTGTTTCTAGATGTCATTCTAAGACCCTTTATCCAAGATACGAACATTGATCAGTTTATGACAGTCTTAAGAAGAACTATGTTTAGCCTAGTCTCAGCCTTTTCCAAATGTGTTATTTCATACATCTTTGACCAGAACACCTGTTAGCACTGCTTAATGAGAGCATTCTCTCATTGCCTATGGGACCCAGAGTCCAGCTCTCAGCTCTGCCTCCAGAGGAGCAAGCTCGGGATTCAGGGCAAGTGTCCTGCAGTGCCCCTCGCTGCCTCCACCCTTTGTTAAGGGCTCCAGCAGAGACCTCAAGAGTGGCTGGTGAGGAGCCCACGGGATGAAACCAGCATCTGTGGCTTGACCCACGCCAAGGCACCGGGAGCTCACAGTGGCAATTTCCCTATCATTTGGAAGAACTGTGCAGCCTCAAACGAGTAGCTGGGTCTTCCTGTACTTTCATTGTCTGCTTGGTAAAGATGAAGGAAGGCATGCCTGTCTTTTGATGGGCCGCTATAAAGTTTGCAGAACTATTTGGGTCTTTCAGGAAAAGGAGTGAAATAAAATTCAAGGTGTCACTTTTCCAGCCAAAACAAAAGGTAGCTGGAAGCCAGCAGGCAGGTTCTGTCCAACACACTGTGTGTGAGTGGCTGACTCCTGGCTCTCCAGGGTTTGGGAGGGGGAACGGGGAGGAAGAAGAGTCCTCTGCTCCCTCCCAGAAGTGAGAGGAAGCGGGTGGGAAAGCATTGTAAGCCCCTCCCTGACCTTTCCCCTTCCTCCTACCATGATGGAGCAGTCGGCTGGACAGTGGGAAGGGTGTGGGCAGGCTATGCAAGTGGCAGACGTGGGCTCCGTGTCTTTGAGTCTCCAGCTTCTCACACATGGTCTGGTCCAAAGCCTGGGGTTAAAAACACCCCTCGCCTTCCTCCCTGAAGAACAACCCACAGGTGCCACATTGCCCTCCCTCCCTGAAGAACAACCCACAGGTGCCACATTGCCCTCCCTCCCTGAAGAACAACCCACAGGTGTCACATTTCAGAGGTCTAGGCTGAGCTTATCATCCTTCTCCAGGAGAAAAATGGGCATGGAGACAGGCAGTAGAGGGTAGAGGAGCTGGACAGCAAAGTAGAAGGGATAGCCTGGGACAAAGGAATGCTGTGGATGGCCTTTCCTTGCTGTACTTGGCCACAGCAGCCTGGCAAGCATGCCAAGGGCAGCCTGGGGCATGGGAGATTCTCACAGCTCTTGAATATTCTCACTTGTAGTTCTTCTAGGAAGCCTCAGGCCTCGTGGCCCCTACAACTGCAACGATTTTGGCAAAACACAAGCAAGTCAACAGCCATCACAAAAAACACATGTGATCAGCTATACTGGTGACACCTGCTCGACAGCAGGCAGTCAGGTGCTGCGCAGCCCTTCCTCTATGGCACCTGGCCTGCCTGGTTCCCAGCAGAAGGGATGGAGGACAGCCTGGCCTGGCAGCCTGGCCCCAGAGCTCCACCTGTCCCCACTTGCAGTGGCTCCCAGTGGGATCCCAACAGGAGGGGCTCAGTTTTCTCACGTGTCTGCCCCAGGGGAATCAGCAACCTCAGATGAGGAAAGGATGAGTTGGGGCTCACAGGTAGCACTGAGGACAGCAGTGCCTCAGTTTCTCCCTCTGACAGGAGCCCCAAACGAGAAAGATGCCCTCAAGCCCGTGACCAAGAGCAGCCTGCGGCCTGTCTCTAGATGGACACCAAGACCCCCAGCTGTGGCAGGAGGCGGCCTTACCCTGTTTGCTCAAAGCTAGGCCCACGGTAGCATTGTCAGACTGCCATGAGGGAAATCACAGGAGGGTTGAAACAGCACCTCATTGCCTCCTGATGCACACAGCATGCTGCTGTCCCAGCTCAGTGAGAAAGGCAAGGCCAACAGGAGTGAAGGCACTGGGAGAACCAGGAAGGGCTCCCACCGTAAGTTGATGCTTTCAGCAGAAATCTTGCCCAGCCCACATGCAAGCCACCTGCGTTGCAGCAATGGGGTAATTACAGTGCCAGAGGGTGGCAGGGAGCGCCTCCCAGACCTGCAGATCAGCCAGGCAGAGGTGTAAGAGGCAGCTGCCAAGCCGCCCGGCCCTGGAAGGGAAGGTTAATTGGTGGGAGACTTCAAGAGGTAAGGTTGGTGTGGATTCCTGAGCAGCCTGGGCAATGGGAGAGGAGAGCACCTTCCCTGGCTCTGGCTGAGCTTCCCCCTGGGCCCCATTAACAGTGAAATTAGAACCACAGACAGAGGAGCCAGGGGCGAATCCACTGTAATCAGGAGCCCAGTCATGCCGGCAGGTGCAGGGCTGGGCATTCCCTTCCTGTCACTCCACAAACACCTGGAATGAGATGTGGCCACCATTCCGATGCCTATTCATTAGAGAGCAAGCTCTGACAGGGGAAGCAAATACTGGTGCATCCCATGGGAATACTGTGCACAACTGAGCAACCCTGTGCACAGGCCCAGAAGCTGCAGACTGGGCCACACAGCTGGGTCCCCTCCACCCCATCAGGATGAGAAACTCTCTTCTTCCTACTATAGCAGGTGACCTCAGAGAGTGCATGGGGTATAAACTAACAGGGGTGATTGACTACAGTCCAGGAACTACGGGCTTAAGGATAAGGGCTATGTTTAGGCATCTTTGTAACCTTCGCTTAACGCCTGGCTCAGAGTAGCTCATATACATGTACATGTGGAGAGGTAGATGAGTGGATGGATAGATGGATGGATGAGTGTGTTGGATGGACAGATGAACGAATGGATGGGTGAAAGGACAGGCACATGGATGGATAAAGGCCCAAGTTTCACAGTAGCCAAGTTCCCAACAAGAGCTGGAGTACCTAGGTTTGACCCTAGCTCTGTGCTTTAATACGCTCTCTGTAGAAAGGGCATGACAACCACAGCCTGAGGTCTGTGATTAGGATTAAATGAGTGAATACACACAGAACGAACGCCATCTGCCCTACAGGAGGTACAACAGAGGCTTGAGCTCTCACAGTTGTCGTCATCGACAACACAGGTAATACATTCACAGGATCTACCCCAGAGATGTCATCACGTTGTTGAGATGAAGTAACCATGAAGATACTTCCCAAAGGGTCTCTGAACGAGCCAAGCACAGCTCCGGAGGGCTGCATGGAGGAGTAGATGGATGGCCTTCGGAGCAAGGGACGCAAGTTCTGGAGCTCCAGAAAACCTGGGGCTGGATCTTCCTTCCAAGCTGAGATCTGGCTATGGTTTGAGGTGCACCTGTCCGCATGATCACGGAAGGCCCTGGCTGACAGCACTGCACCAACCCAGACCACACACAGGTCTGCATGACCATGGAAGGCCCTGGCTGCCTGGGAGCACTGTACCAACCCAGACCACAGACAGGTCCATGACAGTCTCCAGGAGGGCCTGTCAAGTAGTGGTGGTGAGACAGCAGTGGGGAGCTGGAGCTGACACTCCAAATTAAAATCTAATAGCCTACAGTGCTTACCTCATGCACAGCGGCAAAGGTTACCGTGCAATTACGCATCGCTACATACAAATGACAGAGCAGTTACAGCTACTTTACCAATTATAGGGAAATTGCTCCCACTCCACACAGACACTGCACTCTGAAAAGCTCCAACATCTCCACGGAGTGGGGATTTCAATGTGGCCAGCATCCTTCCCATGGCAGTGTCCCCATGCCTCCAGGCCACAAATAGCCACGGTCATCCTTACAGAGATGCCTCTAGAAGGGGTGCAGGAGTCGTCTGGCCTGCAAGAGATCAAGAGGATCTCTCTGGATCCTTCCCCTCCAAATCCAGAACCCCATGACATACTTAAGGAAGTCAAGTATCACCTGACATCTGTGCCAAGCTGTGTCAGAGACCACAAGTGAGGAGGCGAGGTCGGCGCCTGCTCCTGAACCTGCTATGGTCCCTTGTCTGCTATGACCACACATTCCCCTGTCCCACAGAGCTTCCTTTGCCCTAGGTCTCAGCTGCCCCACCTGGGCAGAAGCCCCATGTCAAG